TATATAGATAGATAGATAGATAGATAGATAGATACTATTATAGTATATTTTACTATAATAGTAAAATATTATATATAAAATATACCATCATAATATAAAATTTGTTCTAAAATAACACTATATATATTTTTCTTTCTTTTTTCATAATTTATACTGGTGAATGACAGATGTTACATTTGTGCCTGTGTGGTTGTTCTGGGTTGCAAACTATAGAAATATAGAATTGCCCTAATTCAAGCAAACAAAGAAGCAGATAAAAACCATTACAACAATTAAGCTTCTTTTTGCAGCTAAATATATTGAGTGGCTGTTCTGTCCAGTCTTAATCGGCCAAGTCATAACAGACCCAAACCATGAGGCTGTTTGAAATGGCAGAGGTTGTTTTTGTGGTGTTGTTGACCTCGGTGTGAGTGTGTGTGTGGGAGTGGAGTTTCGTCCCCTGTGGTGATTTCACAGTGATGCCGGTTTCCTGCCCTGATGGCTGCTGTCTCACTTCCCCTCAGGTGTCTGCTGCTGTCTTCATCTCTCAGAGTCTGTATCTGTCTCCATGCTAGCAGCCATGTCTATACAGTCCAGAACATTCTGCAGCTTAGACACACCTGTGCCGTGAGTCTGCAAAAACTAAATGTGTAAAGTTTAAATGCAAAGAGTAGCTAGAAAAGAAAAGTTTGTCTAGAAAACGTTGGCCATTCTGGGTGGTTGTCAGGGTGTTGCTAGACAGGTGTAAGTGGTGGCTTGTTATAGTCTTCTTGGTGGCTGCTAGAGGTGTTTCTAGGTTGTTTCTAGGTAGTACTGGCTGGTTGTTTGTTGGTAAGGTGTTCTAAGTGGTTGCTAGGGTGCTAATAGGCTGTTCTGTGTGGTGGCTTGTTGCTAGGGTGTTGCTAGGCAGGTCATTGCTTATATATATGGTTTAGGGGATTGCTAGGGTGCTTGTTGCCAGGGTGTTGCTAGGCAAGTCATTGCTAAGGTGCTCTAGGTGGTTGCTTGTTTGCTAAAAGACAGTTATGTGTGGTGGGATGTTGCTAAGGTGTTGCTAGGCACCTCATTGCTTGCTGCTAAGGTTATCTAAGTGGTTGCTAGGGTGCTGATTGGCAGTTCTGTGTTGTGGATTATTGCCAGGATGTTGCTAGGCAAGTCACTGCTAGGGTGTTCTGGGTCATTGCTTGTTGCTAAGGTGTTCTATGTGGTTGCTAGGGTGCTGATAAGCAGTTCTGTGTGTTGTTTTGTTGCTAGGGTTTTGCTAAGCATGTCATTGCTTGTTGCTAAGGTGTTCTAGGTGGTTGCTAGGGTGCTGATAGGCAGTTGTGTGTGGTGGCTTATTACTAGTGAGTTGCTAAGCATGTCATTGCTTGTTGCTAAGGTATTCTAGGAGGTTGCTAGGGTGCTGATATGCAGTTGTGTGTGGTGGCTTATTACTAGGGTGTTATTAAATTATTCCAGGTGGTTGCAAGGGTGCTGATAGACAGTTGTGTGTGGAGGCTGATTACTAGGGTAAGTATGAAATTGCTTGTTGCTAAGGTGTTCTAGGTGGTTGATAGCGTGATGATAGGCAATTGTGTGTGGAGGATGATTACTAGGGTATTGCTAGGGTGTTGCTAAGGTGTTCTAGGTGGTTGCTAGGGTGCGGATAGACAGTTGTGTTTGGAGGCTTATTATTAGGGTGTTGCTAAGCATGTCATTGCTTGTTGCTAAGATGTCCTAGGGTGTTGCTACGGTCCTGACAGGCAGTTATGTGTGGTGGTTTGTTAGTAGGGTGTTGCTAAGCAGGTAATTGTTAGGTTGTTCTAAATGGATGCTTGTTCTGGGTGGTTGATCTTGCTGTGGTTGTGCAGATACTGTATATGGACAGACAAATGGAGAAAATCCAGATGAATTGTGTTGTGTTTAGACTAAGAATAACAGACAGGAAATTTTGGCATTTATTTATTTAACAATTTCATTCCATACATGTGAATTAGGCTTAAAATCGAATTTCGAACCAAATGAATACACCAAGGAACACGTAAAAAAAAGTAAAGAAACCAAATGAGGCGTTTTCATTTCAGCTTGCTACAAGAAGCACAAACCCTTCGTGTTCTGAAGCCACTATCGTTTCAAGAGCTAGGGAGGCCGTTTCGCTTAAAAACCAGATACTCAATCTACCAGTGCACAGTATGCTACCCACTACATCTGCTTCACTGGCACGCAGAGGAGTTTTGCAACGTGAGAGGAACATGGTGAAATTTAAGTAGCGTTTGTCTGTTTATCTTTTACATTTGAACTACAGACGTTTCTGGACCTGTGTGTATTGTGTCGTCATCGGTGCAGCTAATTCTAGCAAGGTCATGCGAAAAACTGCGTTTCCTTCAAACTATTTGATCTTGACCTACTTGTAGCGTGTCTTTACTATGACAACTGCCCTCTTAGTGTAACTCATTTACAAGCTAAATTAGAGTGCATCTTTTTCTGGTCTAAATTTCACAACGGATCGTTACAGCAACTGGAGAGCTTTGCTTTATTATGCAGCTGTGTTTAAACAATATACAGCTTGTGTGATATGGATTGGAAACAAGCATATATACACACACTGGCATGAGCATTAAATAAACACTGAGATATTAGTGTGATTATAAGGATGTTTAAAACGCAGCATGATTGAGCAAATATAAATAAATTGGTATGATACCTGTATGTGTTAAAATAGAAAGAAAAACGCTTCATACCTGAGATGCAAAAAAATGCAGCGCATTACAATAATGCAACCGGGTGACATAAATTAAAAATTTTGATTAACAGTGTTACAGTTTCTGTTCTGGCCAGTTTGTTAAAAAGACTCTTTGCTAGATGTTCTTAATACACAAATTATTTTATTTCAGTGTATGAAATATTTTGAACTCTAAACCTTTTCAGTAAATGAAAGTTGATCAGAGTGAATGCTTTCTACTTTTTCACATTTCACTGTGATCATAAATGGTGCATTTTAGGGAGGCTTTCATTATTCTGCCAACATCTGCCTAATTGGTGTAGTCTATATTTTTATAGGAGGAGGAGAAATAACCCAGGTGCATTTTATTTAAACATATGGAACTTTTTTTCCCCAAATCATGTCTGTATCCACAACATAGTGAAACAGCAGTTGTAGATGAATTGTCTCTTGCAGGCTCTAAAAAATGTTTCTGACAAAAACCTAAGCTCTGTTCCAAAACCTAGTGAGATGCCTACACAGGGAACATCATTGCTCTAATGGAATCTCATAAGTGACCAATTCAAATTAACACACCATAACTGATTTCAGTACAAGCTTGCTGTTAGCATGTTTTGTAAATTCCACTGCAGTCACTAGCTGAACAAAAAACATCAAACTGGAAATGCGTTGGTGCATTAAAAACGTGAATGCGAGGTGACAATATAACATGCAATTTATAAAGGCGAGTTTGAAGGAAAAGAAACAACCAGGCATTGGGTGACCAGTCGTCGCTGAAACAAAACAACACAAAGCTCCCACTACAAACAAAAAGGCAATTATGGTGATAAAAGAAGCTGATTTATTTGTTCTTAGAAACGTTGAGTATGTCCTGTAACTGGTCAAAATCTGAGCAAGTGGATATATTTTCTTGATAATAGCATGTGATTTACTGACCACAAAGGCAGCATTAGGTCAGTGTCACAATCAGACAGACAAGTACCAAACATTGTTAGCAGTTATTATGCCAGACAGACGGCTTTCAGCCAATCCACATAACAAGAGAGGAAGTAGAAGGAAAAGAGAAATAAATTAAAGGTAATTGTGGCTTGAGTAGCATGTGAGTGGTTATGTTTAATTTCATAAGGCTTAAATAGTTTTTTTTTGTGTGCACTGATAAATGGTTTGGCCTTCAGAAGTATGTAATCTGACTGATAACACACAGCCCAGTGACTCTGTCAAAGGATACCATATTCCTAGCCATTAATATATTCACACATATTAGGGATACATGTGACGAGACAATTACATTTGAGTAACATTGTATATGGAAGTGATATGTGTTATTGTGGTGCATTAAAATGATAAAATGTAAAGCTTGACCATCTGTGGGTTTTATAAGCTTTGATATGTGAGAACGGAGACGGACTGCGAAAGCAAGTTTGAACACTAATCGTCATCATTTACAGGAAACGAACATCAGGTGAAGGTGATTTAAAAGTCTCCCATTCAACAAACACATAGCGTTGCTGTTTCATTAATTATTCCACTGCTGTCACAAATGCTGTCAATTGGTTTTCAATTAAGCAAAATTAAATAATTTACATTGCGAGTCGAACAAAAACATTCCTTCAAAAATGTTTTACCAAAATGGGATACTTGTACAGTATATACACGCCTTGAGCTAAAGCAAAGTTTATGAAGTTGTTGAGAATCTTTTATTGACAAATAAGATGGAAAAAAAAATGAACGATTTGTCCCCACCAATATTTAGATCAGCTAATATACAAACTTGATGGAATTAGGGATCCCAAAGTCTAACAACAATTTTCACTAGTTACCACATTTAGCAGATATATTATACAGCCTTAGCAAGGTTGTCTATTCATCATAGAAATCAACAAAAGAATAGAAAAAAGATACCGTAATTTCAAAAACACTTCCAAACATTAACATAACCTGTGACTTCAGTGAGCGTAAAGCGTACTGATGTCCAGTTTGGGTAATGAAAGTTAGTTATTTTTACTTCACAATTGCTGTATTAGACTGATTCATGAGTTGATGCGAGTCATTTGTGCTTATGTTTTGATTGGCCTAAACCTCACGCTGTAAAATGAGTGCTACACATGGGCAACGTTCTCTCAACGTTATTATAGTGTTTAGGTTAGCATAAAACGTTTTTGGGATCTTTAATGAACTGTATATATATCTGACCAGTGATGTGCAGGTTTAGGAGCACTGAAATAGTTGCACACTACTTGTTTTTGTTAAATATCACTTTCTGTGTGTTGTGAGATTTCTTGTGTTCGGCACAACGGTTGTGTAAACAGCTGAAAGGATAATATATATTTGTGGATCTGTTGTTATGAAAATGCTGTGTATGGGGGCCGATCAGTGCAGGAATAGACAGACTGCTGCAGAACCAAGCAGCATCATATACTACACAAACACACAACTGGGCTTGTTCTTTCTTTCTTTGCCTGGTTGCTAATTCACTAGCCTGCTATGGTTTATTTGGTGATCAGAGTTGGTAAACCTAACAGTTTCAACTAATTTAAAAATACAAGGTGATTTTCGGTGGAACACACTGAGACCTTCTGTGAAGCTATTCATTTACGTACCAATATCTACAGTTCAAGTACAAAATACTGATTTTAGCCATAGTGTGAGCTGTCGGTTTCACATCATGTAATGGTAATTTGGAAAATGGAGCTTCGCTACTGATAACATTATTAACACCTAAAAATCTGTAGAATAAAAAGGGAACCTCCCTCCCTCCAAGTCTGAGTATATGTTTACTACTGTACATCGTTTTTTGGGGGAGAAACATCACAATAAATGGATTCAGCATGAATCACAACCAAAAACCCAGCACAAAACATTTAAAAAAATCATAACGCTGAAGATAAAAAGCAAGCAACCAATCAGAGGCCTGACAAACATGAAGGCATTGACTGAAACTCAGAGGACATTTGTATATTTAGGCACTGTGAGAGGATGAAGGGCGAGTCCTTACTGAAAAATGGCTGCAGATTATTTTCTTTTTTTACATATTTGGAGATTTTGACTTTTTTTTACCACTTTGGGGTGTTTTACAGCTATTTAATGATTACAAAAGGTGACATCTTCAGCAAATAAGATGCTCGTAAAAAGTAGGAGGTGAGCTGTTATCGAAAAAAGCTAAAGAAATCCAAACTGAAATGAAAACAACAAACTGAACAGCATAGAAGGGTGAGAAGAAGCTTCCGCTGCTGTCTGAAGAAGTTCCTACACGGTGCAGGGGAAGGAACGAGAGGAGAGAGAGAGAGAGAGAGAGAGAGAGAGAGAGAGAGAGAGAGAGGAGCGCACCGCCACACACAGTATAAATGAAATACTCTTTCTTTTCCTCTGCGTGTGCGTGGTTGCCGTCAGCATTGATGATGGCTGTGTCTGCATCTGGGGCGTCATCCGCTCCTTTGGCCTCGTTTGTCAAATACGTGCCTGAAAAACACAGGATCCCGCGGCTATCTGAAGAAGTGCCCACGCTGCGTGGGGGAGAGAGCGAGAGGAGAGAGAGAGAGAGAGAGAGAGAGAGAGAGAGAGAGAGAGAGGAGCGCAGTGCCACTTGCAGTCTAAATGAAATACTCTTTCTTTTCCTCTGCGTGTGCGTGGTTGCCGTCAGCATTGATGATGGCTGTGTCTGCATCTGGGGCGTCATCCGCTCCTTTGGCCTCGTTTGTCAAATACGTGCCTGAAAAACACACACAAGGTCTTGATTTGAAGATATTTTTAATGTCACTGCAACTTTACAATACCTATTTATGTGGACTCTGGTAAAAAAAAAAATAAAGGGAACTAATAAAGTGCTGGAAACTTCAAAATGGCAATTCTATGTAAGAGAATTACTAAGTCCAAAAATCTGTTGACCACTTGTGAAAATGCAAATAATTTTTATGCACTACCTGTCAAAAATCTGCAATAATTATGATTTTGTAATGTCTCTGAAAGAAGTATCTTATGCTCACCAAGACTGCATTTATTTGATCAAATTACAGTAAAACAGTGATATTGTGAAATATTATTACACTTAAAAGAACTGTTTTCTATATTTTAAAATGTAATTTATTCCTGTTATGGTAAAGCTGAATTTTCAGCAGCAATTATGCTAGTCTTCAGTGTCACATGATTATTCAGAAATCATTCTAATATGCTGATATTCTAATATACCAGAGAATATAATTGTAATATTTAATACTAATAATGTATATAAAATGTTTTACATTTTATTTATTTTATTAAAATTTTAATAAATATCTTTTGTTTTCATTAAAAAATATTATACAACTTCAAAATGTCGCAGTATTTTTTTTTGCACCTATTTTTCATTCATTTTACAAAACCTTCTTTTGTTTTGATGATGTATTTTTGAGTATTACTGTGTCTACATTTTACAGAAATGTAAGAAAAATCGTACCTTTATGCCGTGCCAGGTAGCGTCCCAATACAATAATCAAGCACAAAGTTGCAAAGACGACAACAGCGACAATTCCACCAATCAGAGCATGGTCTGGCGGGCCTGGCAGGGCATTAGGATCTGTAAGAGAGAGAAAGAGGAGGAGGAAACATAGTTGGTGACCTTTCTCATTTCATCATACTTTTTTTTTCCCTTCCGAAACATCAGAAGGTTGACAACAAATATTTTGGACTAAAGCTTTAGCCCTCTCCTGGTCAAGGAGTTTAAAGTCTGTCTGAACTGACAGGTCGAGCCATATGGTGGTCTGACAGGGATCTATGCATGCCTAGAATGAAAGTAAAGAGGAAGACATGGGCCACAATAAACACTGTGTCGTCAGCTGCTCGTGACTAACAAACATACACTACATGGTCAAAAGTTGTTTGAGAAGGGTCACAAATTTCCTAGAGGACCGTCTTTACAGAAGCTGCAGAGGAAGGTCAACTTCCTATTAAAGCCAATAGTTTTGAGATGTAATGCTCAACATGCATATACATATTGGTGAGGTATTTGGGTATCCATATACTGTACTTTTTTGACCATACAGTCAAAATGGCATTTTTTCAATGCCATAGAATAACTATTATTTTCAATGAACAGTTTTTAAAAGAATAATTTTTCAGTGTAACGATATAAAAAACCTAAAGAAACTTTTTCCACTATTTGGAATGCAAAGGTTTGGATGTTGAAAGTGCTTCATGGAACCATAAGGGGCTTTTGCGCCAGAGGAACCTTTTCATAGTTCTTAGAACTATTGGTGGAAGAACACGCTTTTTGGCATGTTTGTGCCGCAGGAGCTAGGAACGTATTTAGTTTTAGAAACTCCATTTGGGGGAACTAAATGAGCGCCTACTTTAGAGTAGGGTCTAAAACCGTTCTATAGGAACTACCAGTGATGTACACTCTTAAAAATAAAGGCGCTTCAAAAGGTTCTTCAAGCGATGCCATAGAAGAACCATTTTTGGTTCCACAAAGAACCATTCAGTCAAAGGTTCTTTAAAGAACCATCTCTTTCTTACCTTTTTATAATCTGAAGAACCTTCTTTCACCACGAAGAACCATTTGTGAAACAGAAAGGTTCTTCTGATGTTAAAGGTTCTTTATGGAACCGTTTAGACAAAAAGGTTCTTCTATGGCATCGTGAAGCACCTTTATTTTTAAGAGTGTAAGTGTACGCTGATTGGCCAAACGCATACGAAAACACCGGTTACCCTGCATTTTTTTGAAATCATGAGTAAAAAACATTTACTCTGATAACGGCATTTACCTGTTATATGTAACACTGCAAGCTGTCATAGGAGATTTAGTCAGATTTTCATGCTCTTTCAATCACGTAAATTGTGCATTTACATTCCATCTCCGTTATCACGAAACTTACCATGCTGGTTAGTTCTTAGAACCCAGTTCCTAGAATTATGTGGTGCGAAAGCCCCTATAGATACCAAAAACAGAAACTTTATTTTTAAGAGTTTACAGAGTAGAATAAAGCTCTTGGTTACAGAAGACAAGACCTGCTGTTCAAATTGTGGGCTACTTCATTTCATCCCCGACCAGACAATGCTCCTGAACCTCCAAGAGTATTATTCATTTATAAGATGGGTTCATCTCCTTTCTCTCTCTGAGCTGTGGTTCTTTATTATGTCCCTGCTTAGTGCCATTTGGAGTGGTATATTATAATTGACAGCATGCGTTGCATCTGCCACAGCGTGTGCGTTTAATCCGGGCTGTGCTTTGTGCTGCGGGAGCTTCCTAACCACTGCCTGCAATTACTGTATCAGCCACACAAAGCCGGGATAAACTCAGGGCCAGAGAGGCATTCAAACAGTCCATCAGCTCTCATTTCGGTAATGGAGAATCCCACCTCAGATCGACATCGGCTGGGCGCACCGGCTCCATATCCCTCTGATTGACATCTCATAGACTGGCTGTTTTTTTCGCTCTCTCTCAATAATAGCATTTCTTCTCTTTGTTGTGTTTACAGGAGGAGTATACAAACCTACAAGCTGCATCTGACTTCCCTGTGACAATCAATCACAATAAAAAAACTAAATATGTGCAGATCTCTATCACCCTTTTAGCGGCTTGCTGAAATATGAAATGTGGAGTGGCTACTCGTATCCGACAGGCGCATGTTTCTGAATTTCCAATGGTGAAAAGCTATGGTATTAAACTCTCTACAATTTTATGACATCAATAAATCAAACTTAAGTCCCAAAAAGTATCGCCACTACAGGTGTGTGTGTGTGTGTGACTTTAGTTCAGCTATCAAAACAGCCTCACCTTTATGCCTCTTCAACCAGAGTTTTCACACTGAACTCTAGTTCTCAGTGATGTTTAACTAGGAAAAGTAACAAAACAAATTCTTGGCACTGCTATTCTAAATATCAGTACTGTGTTCACACACTTTTGTCCCTGAACATTAGACTGTGAATCTCAAGTACATCCCTCAGTGTTGTGATAATTAGCCCTTCTCTGTCCTCACTCTATTTTTATCAACACACAGTGGGGTTGCCGTGCTGAGTGTCGTCCTATAGGGCGACTCCATTGACACTGTGAGAGGCCTGGTAATCTCTAACTATATTAAGGATAATTTCTACAGTTAGAGAGAAGGAGTTACATAGTTCATTCCATTAGACAAAGCAAAACAAGTGTAGCATGCAGCTCCAGATCTCACACTTTCCCAGTGTGTGAATTATACAATGACTTTCAGAGGGGGTGGGTCAACTTTTATAGGATTTTTAAATACTTTTTAAAAGTCATTTTCAACTTTTTGAAGTCTGTGGTTATGCAACTCGTATTGTCTATATATATTCTTTCAAAGAAGTGATAAATAATGGAAAAGGGGGAAATGTCACAAATTAAACAGTCTAATGTTAAGAAAACCACATTTTTTCCTGAATAATCATGCAACGTAATTAATATATATACACTATATGTGTGTGTGTGTGTGCTGGTATACAGTGGGGAAAAAAAGTATTTAGTCAGCCACCAATTGTGCAAGTTTATGAGGACTCAAATGTGTATAATGACATGGGTACTACAACATAACAAAAATTTATGAGGACAGTTCCTGTGTCCCCGTAAAAAAAAAGACTTAAAAAACATACAGAACGGTGTCTTATGAAATTAAAAAATTGCCAGTAGTTTTCTGTTAGGGGTAGGGTTGGTGTATGGAGATATAAAATACAGTTTGTACAGTATAAAAACCATTATGCCTATGGAGAGTCCGCGTAAACCACAAATGCAAGTGTGTGTGTGTGATCAAAGTCTACCAGGGTCGGTTTACTTTTTTAATTTTCAGGGTATAAACTTTTAAGGTTTGTCTTATGCAACCTGTATTGTCTTGCGGTATCCCAGTGTCATAACCACTTGTAATATTTATATAATAGTATAAAAAGGCAGGAAAACTTGAAGACCAATTTTAACCATCATCTAATTTTAAGAAAATGCCACAAATCAAAAACTCTAATTTTAAGAAAACTCTACAATAATCATGCTACTTAATCATTAAAAAAAATATTTTTAAAAAGCAATTTTTATGTAGTGTTCAAAATCCTCTAGTGTCGAACATCTGAGGAAACGTTCCTCATATAAATATATACAATGAAAACTATTTGGATATGTACTTTACGATCTTTCATTTTGACTTTCTCTAGGTTGAGCTCAAGCTTTAACTTCTTCCCCAAACCCCTTGCAATTTGCACTCTGCACTTGGCTTACTATTTCTCTTTCTTAGCTTCTCATTTTCTGTCCTTGTGCACCACATGCAGGCTTAACTCATCAGAGCATTTGTCCTTAGACACACAATGGGCTTAACATAGTGGGATCCACCAGCAGAGAAGTGATATGTTTCCTCTCCCCCAGCACACATTATCTTTTAATAAGGCCTGCGACAGTCCTTCCCTTATGATCTAATATTGAAGCACCGCGCACGCACATTCCTATTTTAATATTCAGAATTTCTTCCCCTGACCCCTGCATTGTGTGGCTCTGGCAAATGTAACAAATTAACGACAGTGAAACCGCACCGCTCTGATGGTGTGGGATATAAACTCGCCAGCGGCGCATCTGAGAAGAGGTTTTCAATCCAGCAGCGGCTAAACAACATTGAAAACAGCACTAGCACCCAGCGCACACGAACCCTTGCGGTCACATTAATTCTTAAAGGAAACGGTTTCAGAGGAGAAACATGCAGGAAGCAGTCTTTTAACAAATCCACATGGCAGGGGTCATGAACAGGCCTCGGGGGGCAGGAGCAGCAGGGGCGGCCATGTTGTGCTCTTGTCGGGATGACATTTCAAGGTGAGCGCTACCATTAACTCCACATGCTAATTTGGGAGACTGGCACATGCTGTCTGGGAGATTATTTTTACGGTAATCTCTGCGATATTTGTATAAATGCCTTAAAGGGAGACGGTGAGCGTGGGCTGAGTGTAAAGTGAATGTAGAAAAGCAAACGTCAACGCTTCGGTGATCTTTACATCGGTGAGCTATTGAAGGACAGTGACAGAGAAAGTGCTGAACTGGAAAGCTTCACCTTCATGGTACAATCGAACACTGGAAATTAACATTTACAGGGCGACTGCTGATGTGCTTCCAAATTGAAAGGTGCAGAAAGACGGTTGGCCTACCGAAAGAATTGTAACATATCAAAACACTGCCCTCTATGCGGAAGGCAAATTCAATGGAAATCTCCCAATAAATCACCTAATATGAAAACCCAGCACAAGCTATTCAATGACATTTATGATTTCATTGCTGTACGCAGGATTTGCTCTAACTCTTGGATTCAAATGTTCCACCACAATCAACCAGAAGCAAACCAAATTACGCATAAATTGTAAAATGCAGTGGAATGGAAAGATAGTGTTATTAACCAAATTATGAGTTTAAGTGTGAGCTCATTAGACTTGATTAGAAACTCTGCTGGATATTGAGCTGTTTACCATAAGATACATCAACATTAGTCCTCTGTGTCTGAGAACATCTGCAAACCTCCACATTTAAAAGGGTTTTTAAAAAAAACATTTAAAAGGATTTAAAAATGTATGCCTCAGAATAAGGTTTATTTTGCTCATATT